GCCCATGAAGATTGATATGAGGGAATGATTACTTGTTAAATTTTTTAGAAAGATTTTGAAATGATGTTTTTTTTTTTTTTTTTTTTTGCCCTGAAGTGTTTTTATAGATACTAATCTGTTTTAGATTTTTAATGAAATGACTTTTATGTTTCAGGCTGGTGCACTGATGCTTGCAGATAATGGTATCTGCTGTATTGATGAGTTTGACAAGATGGATGTCAGAGATCAGGTAATTCTAGTTTGAGCAATGTCTCTTATTTTTATCTTTTATTAACTTCTAATGGTTGAAGTATGTGTCATCCTTAGGTTGCCATTCATGAAGCAATGGAGCAGCAAACAATAAGCATCACAAAGGCTGGTATTCAAGCAACACTAAATGCTCGAACATCAATTTTAGCTGCCGCCAACCCCACTGGAGGCCGGTACGATAAGACCAAACCTCTGAAGGTAATTTTCCCTCATGTTAAAGTACTAAATTTTGTTTTGATTTATAATTTTCTAAATCACGTTAGTTTGTGTGGTGACATTTCTAATATACTTCTACAGTATAATGTCGCCCTCCCACCTGCCATTCTTTCAAGGTTCGATCTGGTATATGTGATGATTGATGACCCTGATGATCAAACGGATTACCACATTGCTCATCACATTGTGAGACTTCATCAAAAACGTGAGGATTCACTTGCCCCTGCATTCACCACTGCACAATTGAAGCGATACATTGCGTATGCAAAGACTCTAAAACCTAAGGTAATTTTAGAATTCTGCATTGAAGGGCACAATACTAGTTCATTCTTTAAACTATAATATGTTTTCGTACTATGCAGCTTACACCAGAAGCTAGAAAACTGTTGGTGGATTCATATGTTGCCCTTCGTCGAGGAGATACAGCTCCAGGGAGTCGAGTTGCTTATCGAATGACTGTAAGGCAGCTCGAGGCTTTAATCAGGCTTTCAGAGGCAGTTGCTCGAAGTTATTTGGATGTTCAGGTGCTTTCACTAGCTTGCTTACTGCTTAGTGTAGGGATATCAAATTCCTATTTTGTTCTCAAACTCTATATATTATTATGAATAGGTTCACACTCGTTATGTACAACTAGCAGTAAGACTACTGAAGACATCAATTATCAGGTAAAAATATGGAATACATCAATCACAACAATTAGATAAATTCTAACTAATTTGAAACATAATGATTTTGATGTGGCTATTGTATTTTCATGCAGTGTGGAGTCAAGTGAGATTGATTTATCTGAGTTCCAGGAAGATAATCAAGATGATAGTCCTCATGAAAATAGAGAAAATAATTCTGTTCCTGGGGAAACTCATGCGGAAACAACTTCTGAGCCACCTTCTGGGCCAGCGGGTGAGTCTATGTACATTATAAATTTTTATTTACTCTGTACCCTTTTAACTAGCAAGTAAAACTGTTTTACGTTGATTTTATTGTTAACAGAAAATGGCCCAGGCACTCCAAGCAAGCAAGGAAAGAAACTTGTCATTAGTGATGAATACTTTCAGAGAGTTACCCGTGCCCTTGTCCTGGGATTACGGCAGCATGAGGAGACTGTGATGCAAGAAGGTACGTGAATTTTGTTCAGAAATTTAGGCGAGCCGCGCATTCAAGTTTTCAGCTCTGTTCAAAAATTTAAGTTACATTTTATTTTACTATGGTTATGTGCATTGTGCAGGGACTGGTTTAGTTGGGATGAGGCAGAGAGATCTGATACATTGGTTTGTGCGTCAGCAAAACGAGAAAAATAGCTACACCAGTGCGGAAGAGGCTTCTGCTGAGATTACAAAAGTGAAAGCCATCATAGAGGTGAAACCTTACATAAGAACAATTTGCCTGGTCTTTGATATTTTTCTTGAACTGAAAATAATGTTTGACTTATTATTGTCTTGATCCGTGTTTGCAGAGTTTGATACGTAGGGAAGGCCATCTGATAGTTGTGGATGAAGGTAGACAAGCAGCAGAGGACAGCCAACACGCAACAAAAACATCAAGAAATGACCGGATTTTGGCTGTAGCACCTAACTATGTCGTAGATTGATTGGAGTAAGGACTAAGGAGGTAAGCTTTTCAAGGTTTAGTTTAGTTTATTTTATTTATTTATTTATTTTAATTATGTATTCCCCATGGGGAGCTTTTGGATGACGAGGAAAACTCTACAATCCTTTCGAGTGAGTAATCCTACCTTGTGACCCTAGTAGCTCAGCAGCCAGGGCCAAATGTGCATGGCTCAGCAGTTAGGGTCAAATGTCGGTGCACGCAAGAGATTTGCTCACTTGGGCATAATCCCCACACTGCCGTTGTTAAGGTCCGAACATTGTGAACCAGTGAGCATCTTGGTTCCTTATGGGTTTTTATTTATATAGTTGGTTGCAGTATTTATATAATAGGCAGTGTTATTATGAGGGTAATGGTGGTTGCTTTATCGCTACTAAAAGGAAATTAAACATTAGATTTGCAGGTTTGGAGTTGGGTAAAATGGGTGTCGTTTTCATGATGACAAGATTGCGGCTAACGCTACTCCATGTAGTCATTATCCAGCACAGCGGAGGAGTTGTATACTCAAACGCAAAAAACTGCGTCATTGTAATCCAGTATTGCCTTGTGGCAATTAATGTCTGAAAGCTGACATTTTTCCTTTCTGGCACTAATTATTCTTCATTTTAGTAGTTTACAAACTATGGTTGGATTTAATGTACAAATCTTACGGATTGTGTATATTTAATATCTTTTAATTTGTCATTTATGTTTTTAAATATGATTTGGATTTGAAGATTATACTCCGGTCTTTTACAAGTTTTTCGTATTTCATTCTTTTCAAATTTCACCCCTATGACCAGTTGAGCTGTACATATGGGCTATTTTCTTATTTCATAATTTGGTGAGTGATTTTATTTTATTGATTAAAAATTAAAAAACTTGGGCAATTAGAATTAGTGATGAAGCTAGGTGTAAGCTATAGAACCAGCGAAGCCACGTGAGTAGATTGATGTTTGAAGCTCAACCTCAAACTATACTCCATAATTGATAATTGTGTTCCAAATGAGAAAGAAAACCTGAAATGTTTAGTTTAAGAAATGTTTTTAAATGATACTTTTAGAAACTTTTTTTATAACTTATGATCATGCATTCATGAGTAACAAATGTATTTCCATGGAATAAAATTTTGTTTCATTTTATTTTAGTAGAAAAAAATTAAATAAGTAAAAATTGTAACGCACTTTTTTTCGGACAATTAGAGTCAACAAGGGATTCTCCAAAATGTGAATGTCATTTTAGTTTGTCTTCTGTAAAAATGATGCATTATGTTAAAATGTTAAAAGAGTTCTGAGTCAAACTTTTTAACATGTAAGAGTTAAATTTTGTATGCGTGACTTGAGATAAATCCAAATTAGTCTTTTTTTGAAAGCTAAACACCACCTCCACTAAGAATAGATCTCATGACCTCCCATATGGTAGAGTCACTACCTGTCATTTAAGCACAAGGTGTTTGGCAAATCCAAATGAGTCTAAATAGTAGGATACCCGTTATATACGGAGGAAAAATATTATATATACTCCCAACTTTTATTCCCACACTCAAAAATTTTAATGTAAACAAATTTACAAGGGCCCACATGAAGAAAATAGCCTATCAATACTCGCCATATCAAGGAGTAAATTTGAGGGAGTATGATTTAAGAGTACATGTAGTAGAACTCATATACGGAGCATATAAATAAAGAGGCGCAAATTATGCTGTGGACTTGTGTCCGCAATGCATTGTGGACATGAGTCCAAAACGACGTCGTTTTCAGGAAAAATGCGGCATTTCAGTTAAAAAAAAAATATTTGATTTTGTCTCGCCGTTAACGGCGTTATTCGTTTGTGGATTATGAATGTACAGTTATGGAATTATGAATATACAATAATGGAGTTATGAATGTACAGTTATGGAATTATGAATGTAAGTTATGAAATTATGAACGCAGAACTCTGGCATTATGAACTTACAATTATGAACATATAGTGATAAAATTATGAACATAGAGCTCTAAAATTGTGAACATAGAGCTTCAAATATTATGAATGTACAGTTATGGAATTATGAGTCTACATTTAGGGAATTATGAATGTACAGTTATGAAATTATGAATGTACAGTTATGAAATTATGAATGTAAAGTTATGAAATTATGAACACAGAGCTCTGACATTATGAACTTACAATATGAACATACAGTGATAAAATTATGAACATAAAGTTCTAAAATTGTGAACATAGAGCTTCGAAAATTATGAATTTACAGTTATTGAATTATGAATGTACAGTTACGGAATTATGAATGTACAATTATGAAATTATGAACACAGAGCTCTGACATTATGAACTTACAATTATGAACATATAGTGATAAAATTATGAACATATACTCCTATAACGAAGCGGTCTGAAATTAAAAAAAATGGAAGATAACGGTGCCACTAACTACACCATTACCGTGTCCACATTGCATGCTGGACACGGTCCATAACATTACGATTGAGAGGGGTCCCACCTTAGCTAGACTGCCACCTTGGAATGAGGCCCAGTGCCACCTGTCACTTCAATTCTGAACCTTAATTCTCCAACTCCCCTCACTATTCAAGTCTCAACCGTACCAAAGACCCTTCCCTTCCTGGTGCCCACTCAACAGTTGGCATTGTGTATTTAGAAAGGTGTTGATTAAATTAATTATTATATTCCATTTCTTTCTTCTAAAATGTTGAATTCCTATCACCAAGACATCTCACACTTTGACTTGATAGAGCATTTGAAAGCATGTAAATCAGGGTGACTCAATTGCTAAATAGACATGACTAAATGTCAATATGCACAAAGAATCTACTCAATTCCCACATTGCTGTTGCTGAAATTCAAACATCAATCTCTTCTCATTGATTTAAGCTCGTACCATTATATTCCATTTCCTTGTCTATATTATTAGCGCTGTCCCATACCAGGCACACTACATATACTAACATCTTCAACCACAAGCACCTGTCCACTTTAATTAATCTCCTCCAAACCAACAACACGTACAGGACAAACATCCATCTCACCACTGTAAACCATTCTTTTCCTTCATCTTCTTCTTTGCTCTTCTCATCTTCATCTAATTATATTATCCATTAATTTTGCTTAATTATATACATATTTGTGTGTTTTCTATTTTTCTTGTTTAATTTGCATACATATACATATACATATACCCAGAATCGAGTTCGTTAGTTTCAAGCATGGATTATTGGAAATCCAAGGTTGCTCCCAAAATCAAGAAAATTTTTGAAAAGAGTGGCACCAAGAAGGCTGCTGCTGCAGAGCTCTGCAAGACCTTCGAAGACTCTAAGGTAGTACGTATATATTGTGATTATTAAGGTATCTGATATTCTGTTTTGGTATATAATTCTATTACAGAAAATTATTAATTACTATTTTGTTGAATATTATTCTAGGAGGAGTATGGAAAGGATTTCGAAGAGAAGAAGACTGAGCTTCAACCCAGAGTTGTTGAAATTTATGAAGCTTCTTCAACTGAGATCAAGGCTTTGGTGAAAGATCCTAAGGATACAGGGTTGAAGAAGAACTCAGCTGCAATTCACAAGTTTCTTGACGAGCTTGCCAAGAGTGGTAAGCATAATTTGTTTTAGGATCAAGCATTTACCACTTACATCAAAACTATAGCTAATAGTAAATATTAGACTTTATTTCATTATACAGATATTGAATTTGATCCTTTAAAGTTCTTTATCAATTTTCGTCCAATAATCTCCGATTATCAAATGTCAGATTTGCTTTTATTTACCAGTTTATTTAGAATATAATAGATATTTATAAATGACCAGTGACCAGTGTGATTATAATTTAGATTTTTAATTGAGACGAAATAATATCAAATTATTAATTTAATTTTTTAGTTGAAACAAAAATATCTTTCATTACCTACATGCAATGAGTGTATTAATCATTTATTTACCATCTCAGTTTTTCTATATATGATGATATAGATTTTCCGGGATCAAAGGCGGTGAGCGAAGCGTGTTCTAAGGTGGGGGCAGCATACTTGTCGGCTCCGGTTTTCTTCGTCTTTGAGAAAGTGTCTTCTTTGCTCCCGGAGGAGAAGAAAGAAGAGGCGGCGCCGCCAGCCCCGGAGGTGAGTGAGAAGGAGGCAGTGGCTACTGAAGAAGACACTAAGAAAAATGGGGAAGCGGAGCCACCGGCAGCTGAGCCGGCCGCCGTTGAACCACCAAAGCCGGAAGAAAAAACGGCTGAGGCGGCGGCCAAAGCCTGATCTCAATTGATGACCACGACGTCCCATCATACGCTTATCATCAAATTTGTGCATAAAGTTGCCGTAATTTGTGTTGTAAGAAAATATAAATGTGGTTTTTTTAGTTTTTTTTTTTTATTCTTTATTGATGATCATGGATTCATAGAATAGTATTTTATGTTTGGTTTATTGGTAAAAATATTTATTTTATATATTGTAATATCTTGTTCATAATTTGACAATTTCATATTAATTTTAAAATTTGGTTGTTTTAGTCAATTTTGCTATAGGATAAAAAAATATTAACTGGGTAATTCCAACTAAGTTGGTGGGGATGCTGAATTGATAATCACAATGTTATACATTTGACTCTCAATAAGAGAGGTGTATTGCATAATGACATAATGTTACACATTTGACTCTCAAAAAGAAAGGTGTATTGACTTTCTTGGTTTGAGTTAGTCAGTTATAGACAACTTATATTGATTTATCTCCGTGTGATCATTTGCTGGTTAGGGTGACAAATTATATTGTAAATCATAAATAAGTGTTTATTTTTAATATTCTGAAGGTACATTATTTATGGAATCAAAATTTATTATTTGATAGTATACCAAATAATGAACATCCAATTCCATCTTTATCTCTCCATGCACAAAACTTGCATATGAACCATCTATCCTAGTTTCCCTCTCGTCATCATGACGATTGCTTTTTTCTTATCTATATGATAAGTTGTTTCTATATTTCTCATGTTCTTGATTTGGGTTTTTAAAAAGCTTTCTCCATGTCCTCATCCAGTTTTCCCATGAATCTTAGCGGCCTCATAGTATAGTGTATGTTGTGCCTCGTTAAATCAGGTAAAAGAAGAGGAAGAAATCTTAGTAGTAGGAAGTAAGTGATGTGGACCAGCATCAATCGTATGCTATGGACTTGTGTCCAGCATGCATTGTGAATACGGTACGTAACGGTATTGTTAGTGACACTGTTATCTTTCATTATTTTTATTTTTAAAAATTTTAGACCGATTTGTTATAGGAGCATATGTTCATAAATTTATTACTATACGTTCATAATTGTAAGTTCATAATGTCAGAGTTCTGTGTTCATAATTTCATAACTGTACATTCATAATTGCATAACTGTACATTCATACTTGCATAATTGTACATTCATAATCCGTAACTGTACATTCATAATTCAATAACTGTAAATTCATAATTTTCGAAACTCTATGTTCACAATTTTAGAGCTCTATGTTCATAACTTTATCACTAAGGGTCCGTTTAGAGCTCTATGTTTACAACTTTGGCTGCAACAACAGAAAACTGTCTTTGTGTGTTTGGTTCATGATAGTACTAATCCCACGAGTTAAGTGGTCACGGTACTTAATACGATCAAGTCAAAGCAAATAAAGTCTTTTATTGATCAAGAAGGACCTAATACAATCTAAGTGATTATCCCGAGGGCCGACTGACTGCGGTCGGGCAGCTCTGTAGATAATCTATCGATCGTTCCAAAAGTCCACCTTACTATAGCCGCCGTGGGTACTTATAGCCGCTATGCCGGAGACACAGCTCCGGGCGGCCGGCATGTAACCCACGTAGCATCCATGCGTCACCATCCCGCGAGCCCTCTCTGTCAACGTGTAACATTGCCACGTGCCTCTTCTCGAGATCCTTAACAAGGGTAGCTAATCGGGTGGCAAAGGCGATCGGTCGGGAAGTCTACCAGTCGGGTCCAACCGTCTTCTATAAGAATATCCGACCTGTCAAACCTGCACAAAGAACAAGAGAAACCGAGCCATGTCGGTCGGGATATATCCTACCAGTTCATTTTCCAGAAAATTAGCAGAAAAATAAACAAAATTGTATACTTCATCATTTTAATTGTTATAATGCAAAGAGAGATTTAACTTATCTAGGATTGTATAATTCTCTTATTTTGGATATGTTAATGAATTAACATTTCATTCTAAAAAAAAATAATAAATAAAAAATCCTAGCACTGTTAATACAAACATCCTAATTTATAAAAAAAAAAATTAAAAAAATAAAATAAAAATGGACTGGTTTCCAGTAAGGAAACCAATCGCCGGAAACCAAACCAGACCATTGGTTTGGTTTCCGGCGAGAAAACCAGATTGGTTTCCTTGTCGGAAAGCAATCTGGTTTTTGGCTTGGAAAACCATATTCAGATTCTGGTTTTCCAAGTCCGAAAACAAACTGGTTTCCGACTTGGAAAACCAAATCTGTGGGTTTCCAAGTCGGAAACCAATATGATTCCGGTTGTGGGTACGCCGGAAATCGTTTTCGGTGGTCGAGAAGTTAGTGTTGGTGAATGTTGCGAAGAAGAAGGTCTTTGTGCGAAGAAGGAAGTTGCGTTGGTGGTCTCTGACCTCTGTGCGAAGAATAAAAGCTGCGATCTCTGGCTTCTGTGCGGAGAAGAAAAGCTACGTGTGAAGAAGAAAAGCTACGGTTTCTGGCCTCTGTGCAAAGAAGAGAAGCGGAAAATGACTTCCCCTCAAAAAAAAGGGGAAGTCATTTTCCATAAAAATGACCCAATTTTCCATTGATCAAGCTTCATTTTTCATTGACTTTACTATTTTACTCATTGTCAAACACTAGAAACCCGGAAAATGATTTTTAGAAATCATTTTCCGGGTTTCCAAACACACCCTATATATATGTTCATAATTGTAAGTTCATAATGTCAGAGCTCTGTGTTCATAATTCCATAACTTACATTCATAATTCCATAACTGTACATTCATAATTCTATAACTGTACATTCATAATGCCACAAACGAATAACGTCGTTAACGGCGAGACAAAATCAATTTTTATTTTTTTTTTAAAACTGGAATGCCGCGTTTTCCCTGAAAACGACGTCGTTTTGGACTCGTGTCCACAATGCATTGTGGACACGAGTCCACAGCATAATTTGCGGACCAGCATACTAAAGATCCTTTAAGAGTACTAATTGGCACAGTTACGAGGTCTAAGTTCAAACAATTAAGACAACTCTTTATTAGTTATGTTTAAAGATAATAAAAATTCAAGTCAAGCCCAATTGAAAAAGATGAAGAAGAACTCAAGACTTATTATAATTGTTTAAAAGCTGATTTTGGTCATTAATTTAAATTCTTTGACATGAAAGAGAAACACTAATTTGTATTTAGAAAGGATTCCTTAAATCCCTTTCTAAATATGGCTATCTTTAGTTGCTTGCTAAATTAGGTTTATGACTATTTTTCCATTTGTATTTAGGATTACAATGTTGTCCTATACCTATAAATACGACACAATTATAGCATTATAGTTATAGGAACCAATTCACAGTCTTCACACTGGGTCTGATAAGAACCAATCCACATCGGATCAAATAAGAGCCCATAACGAGCTCATCACAAGGCCCGTCACTTCATTCTTCAATCGTTATATCGTCCAGTCGTGCACCAAGGTGCACAATGCATTGTGCGCCCTACCCAAAACGACGTCTTTTTTTTTTTTTTTTTTTTATGGTAAGATTTTATGTGTATTATGTTATGAATTTATGTGTATTATGTTATGAGTTTATGTGTATTATATTAAGAGTTTATGCGTATTATGTTAACATTTTATGTGTATTCTGTTAAGAGTTTATGTATATTATGTCAAAAGTTTATGTGTATGTATTATGTATTACGTTAGATTATGTGTATTATGTTATGAGTATATGTACATTCAAAACAATGAGATTTTTTTTTAGAAGTTAACGGTAGAAATGGGAAACGAAATTTCTAATATATATATATATATATATATATATATATATATATGTGTGGTAGTTTTCAGGTGCACACTTGTTTTATTGTGTGAACTTGTGCACTACTGTAGTGCATTGATCGAAAATGTTATCCGATGATCCAAAATATACCCTTCATCCCTTATGGTGGACCATAACTTAGTGTGCGCATGGGGCATTCCTTGTATTTCGTTTTGATTATTGATTGGTTTGAATTGCGAAGTCACAACTCTGTTTTATCTTATCCGAGTAATACGATTGGTGATGATCATCCGGCGGACGGGTTTGGCTGCTGCACCACGTCGCTGGAGATGCACCACCGTGAATATCCGATCGTGGCCGCATGCGATTCAAAGATATTAGGTTTGGGTTTGTGCTTCTGTTTATTTTTTGGGTCGCATGCATGGCATTTGAGTTAGTTGGTGTTTTCTAAGAGAACTTCTTCCATAATCGGATCCCTCATGTCTTTCAGATGTTGCACAGTACAGATCAAGAGCAAATGAAACAGCTTACAACATAGGATCATTTTATCAAACAAAAAATAAATGGACTGTAAACTATATATAGACCTCAAGCAGATTACGGTCCCATTCCCAACATTAGCCTGATCAATAATATTCAAAAATGCAGAACGGTTCATACGTAGAAATGGCACCGGAACGGGTCAGACATATTCCTTGTTTTAAACATTGTATTAATTTTTAAGGCACGCCGCCGGAAGAGTTGGATCGGGTGCATCGGACTGTTTCAACGTACACCCGTGCAGGGTGGCTCTGGGGATTGTCGGTGTAATTCTTGTGCGGCCCTTGCATCGGTGTTGTTGTTTGTGAATTGTGATACATGGGTACAACGCACCGTATAGTAGTTTAAATGGGTGGGTTGGGATGGGTATGTGCCTTGTTTGGTTATGGGAAGACAGTTATGGTCTTGCTATTTCATGCACGAAGCTGTTTTTGTGAGATGAGTCCTGGTTATTCACGTTTAATTTTCTGCTTGCATGGTTTAGGCAATGTACGTAGTTTAGATGATTATATTGTGTTCGATCTATTGGGTACGTATGTTTCCTAATTTCAGTGCTGTGGGACGGGACGTTGGTGCAAACAACTCAGTGTAGTGGGCGGTGTTCCGATCGAGCTGAGGATCATCTTACGGAAAATTTAGGATCAAACCTACATACTGGATAAACAAATGTACATGTTGGGATGGTGGGCAGTAATAAAGGCTGTATGTCACGAATGCTACAAGAGCTTAAGGAGTTGAGAGCAAAATTTCTGTCTGATGGCACGAGCACACAGACCAGGTCAAGGCTAAAACCAAATGCAGTGGGAAACGTATCAAGAGCAAACGGGAGTTAGCTATCGAGC